TTGAACGTTTCATTAAATGCAAACTAGACTTTTAAAACTATGGCTTAATAACAAAACCACATTTTAAAAGCAACTTGGTGTCTTGACAGCAAAACATCAGGCTCTTACTCTACACTGAGACTGGTTTCCATTCACGGGTGAGTGTGTAGCGACTGTCAACCGACACACAAGTTAGCTTGGTGAATGGCTTGTTTTATGAATGCATACTTTTAAAAATGACTTGAGTATAATGAAGTCTTATTAGGGTTAAGAAGAATATTTCAGGGATCCTCAATCTTTTGGTTTTTGTTTTATGAAGAAAAAAATCAGATTTGGTGAATATATTTTATCTTGAGGTTTCAGTTGAATCTAAATCTCTGTATTGTATGTCGTGTTCAACCATATAACTGACTGTTATGGGCGTTCAGCATTATGTCTCTCTCTGTATACACTGTGGTGCACTTAACTTGTGGATTTTTTTTATACTAAAAAAAAGTAGAATAAAGACTATTTTGAAAATTTGAATAAAGTGACAAAGTTGCATTAGACCTCACAAAGAACTCCTGACTGTTGCTCAGCTTGGTTTATTGTTTTTTAAAGGCTTGTGTTTTCTTTCCTGCCTCCTTGCAAGCATCATCTTAAGTAGGTTTTATGAAAGGGGAACTCTTAAGATTTGAGGAGAACCCATCTAGAACTCCCGAGATTAGCATGAAAGACAGGAAAAGATAAAAGGCAAGAAAGAAGTGAAGTTGGTGTGCACTGTTCTGTTGCTTTGGGGGATATCGCAGAATGTCATGAGTAAGTGGACTTGTACAAGAGGGAATCTAACGGAGGAGTGGGCAATAATTTTTGATGGGGGGGGCACTCCAAGAATTTGGTACATGGTCAAGGGCTGCACTCCTTCCATGACACTGATGGAGGTGCAGGGTCTGGGACAGGGTAGAGGACTGGGGTGCAGGCGGGAGCGTGGGGGTCTGGATGGGAGCTTGGATGAAGGGAGGGGTTGGACACAGCGGGGCACAGGCTATCCAATAAGTTTCTGGACTGCATTGGAGACAACTTTCTGTTTCAGAAGGTTGAAAAAGCTACCAGAGGAGAAGCTGTTCTGAATTTGGTTTTAACAAATAGGGAGGAACTAGTTGAGAACTTGAAAGTGGAAGACAGTATAGGGGACAGTGATCACGAAATAATAGAGTTCATGATCTTAAGGAAAGGTAGAAGGGAGACCAGCACAATTGAGGTTATGGATTTCAGGAAGGCAGATTTTGATAAGCTCAGAGAACTTGTAGGTAAGGTCCCATGGGAAGCAAGACTGAAGGGAAAAACAACTGAGGAGAGTTGGAAGTATTTCAAAGGGACGTTGTTAAGGGCCCAAAAGCAAACAATTCCGCTGTGTAGGAAAGATAGAAAATATGGCAAAAGACCAGCTTGGCTTAACAAGGAGATCTTGCATGATCTCAAAATAAAAAAGGAGTCATATAAAAAATGGAAACTAGGACAACTAACAAAGGATGAATATAGGCAAGCAACACGGGAATGCAGGGGCAAGATTAGAAAGGCAAAGGCACAAAATGAGATCAAACTAGCTACAGGCATAAAGGGAAACAAGAAGACCTTTTATAAATACATTAAAAGCAAGAGGAAGACCAAGGACAGGGTAGGCCCACTGCTTAGTGAGGAGGGAGAAGCAGTAACAGGGAACTTGGAAATGGCGGAGATGCTCAATGACTTCTTTGTTTCGGTCTTCACCGAGAAGTCTGGAGGTGTGCCTAACGTAGTGAATACAAGCAGAGAGAGGGTAAGTTTAGAAGATAGGATACACAAAGAACAAGTTAAAAATCACTTAGGAAAGTTAGATGTCAGCAAGTCACCAGGTCCTGATGAAATGCATCCCAGGATACTCAAGGAGCTGATAGAGGAGGTATCTGAGCCTTTAGCTATGATCTTTGAAAAATCATGGCAGACAGGGGAGATTCCAGAAGACTGGAAAAGGGCAAATATTGTGCCCATCTATAAAAAGGGGAATAAGAACAACCCAGGAAATTATAGACCGGTCAGTTTAACGTCTGTCCCAGGGAAGATAATGGAGCAGGTAATTAAGGAAATCATATGCAAACACTTGGAAGGTAATAAAGTGATAGGGAATAGCCAGCATGGGTTTGTGAAGAACAAGTCATGCCAAACTAATCTGATAGCTTTCTTTGATAAGATAACGAGCCTTGTGGATAAGGGAGAAGCGGTGGATGTCATATACCTAGACTTTAGTAAGGCATTTGATACGGTCTCGCATGATATTCTTATTGATAAACTAGGCAAATATAACTTAGATAGGGCCACGATAAGGTGGGTGCATAATTGGCTGGATAACCGTAGTCAGAGAGTTGTTGTTAACGGTTCTAAATCCTGCTGGAAAGGGATAACAAGTGGAGTTCCTCAAGGGTCTGTTTTGGGACCCGTACTGTTCAATATCTTCATCAATGATGTAGATATTGGGATAGAGAGTACTCTTATTAAGTTTGCAGATGATACCAAACTGGGTGGGGTTGCAACTTCTTTGGAGGATAGGGACATAATTCAGAATGACCTTAGCAAGTTAGAGAAATGGTCGGAGGTAAACAGGATGAGGTTTAATAAGGAGAAATGCAGAGTGCTCCACTTAGGAAGGAACAATCAGTTCCATACATACAAGATGGGAAGCGACTGTCTAGGAAGGAGCATGGCGGAAAGGGATCTAGGGGTCATAGTGGACCACAAGTTGAATATGAGTCAACAGTGTGATGCTGTTGCAAAAAAAGCAAATATGATTCTAGGTTGTATTAACAGGTGTGTTGTAAGCAAAACTCGTGAAGTCATTCTGCCGCTCTACTCTGCGCTAGTTAGGCCTCAGCTGGAGTACTGTGTCCAGTTCTGGGCGCCACATTTCAAGAAAGATGTGGAGAAATTGGAAAGGGTACAGAGAAGAGCGACAAGAATGATTAAAGGTCTAGAGAAGCCTATGAAGCCAGGCTTCATGAACTGGGCTTGTTTAGTTTGGAAAAAAGAAGATTAAGGGGGGACATGATAGTGGTTTTCAAATATCTAAAAGGGTGTCACAAGGAGGAAGGCGAAAATTTGTTCCTCTTGGTTTCTGAGGACAGGACATGGAGTAATGGGCTTAAAGTGCAGCAGGGGAGGTTTAGATTGGACATTAGGAAAACATTCCTAACTGTCAGGGTGGTCAAATATTGGAATAAATTGCCAAGGGAGGTGGTGGAATCTCCCTCTCTGGAGATATTTAAGAACAGGTTAGATAGACATCTGTCAGGGATGGTGTAGACGGAGCTTGGTCCTGCCTTGAGGGCGGGGGGCTGGACTCGATGACCTCTCAAGGTCCCTTCCAGTCCTATTATTCTATGAATTTGGGGTGCAGAGAGGATTCTGATGAGGTGGAGGAGGGGGTGCAGAGTTTGGAAGGGGGTTGTGATCTGGGTCAGGGGAATGGGTGCAGGAGTGGGAGTGCAAAGGGTTGGGTGACGTGGAGGAAAGAGAGCAGAGGGTTGGGGGTGGTTGGAGGGGCTGGGGTGCCAGAGGCAGACTCTGCCTGACAGGTGGCCCCTCGGGCAGGCTCACTGCCTGCTGCATCCCCGCAGGCTGCGCACAGCGTCTGGCTGCAGAGGCCAGCTGCTTTTGAGTGGCAGGAGCCCTGCAAACACGGCCGAGGCCGCTCTGGTCAACGGGACCTGGAAGATTGTCCTGCGGACACTGTAGTTTTCCCACGGCGCTCAGAGAAGCCCATGGCCCTGCTGCTGGCCGTATTTTTACCCTCTCCTAGTCTAGCTAAATTGAAATGGCCTTACTGCTTCAGAAGCTGCGCAATACAGGGCACATCGTCCGCTAGCGTGAGCGAGTCAGGCAACGCTGCAGGGCGAACACAAACATAAGGGCATTATAGTTTCCAGGCCCTTTTTTCCACCCCTAGAAAACTATTATGGCTCACAAAGAGCTTTGAATTTTAGCGCTTCGTTTAGCTGGAGATTACGTCGCTTGCCCAAAATAGGGGTGAGGCGCTACCACCACCAAAACGAGGCTCCCGCCTGAACAGGGCTAAGGCAGCCTGCACCACACCCAGGCAGGACTTCCCTGTGCGGAGTGACTGTTATTCACATGAAATGAGCTAATTGTCGAGCTTAACGATACCCTGGATCTGTCTGGTCTCAGACAGAGGCCAGTCCCCTGTGGGTCACTACAAAGGGCAAGAAACCAAGTAGGGGACCAGGCTGAATAATCTGCTCCTCAGGTTATTTACCTGGCCTCTGGCAGCTAATGGGTGTCCTCATGTGAGGGGCAGTGCTCTCCAAGGGGTTAAGACACTGGGCTAGGATCAGGAGCCCTGGGTTGGTTGGTTTGTTTTCCAGCTCTGCTACTGACTTACTGTGTGTTCTTCTCCCACCTCGGCCTTTTAGACTAGAACCTGGGGACTCGCTAGGGAATTGTACAGAGCACAACGGAGGCTACTAGGCATTATTGCAACACAAACGACTTGATTAACTTTGGCCCTTAATCTATTCCTCCCCCCCTAAAATGAGCTTAACCTTCTTTGCTCCAGGAGAGAGAAACTCTAGGGCTATGCCTACACTGGCGCGATCTTGCGCCAAAGATATGCAAATGAGGCTAAGCGTGGAATATCACCGAGCCTCATTTGCATACCTAATGAGCCACCATTTTTGTGGAAGAGGCTCTTGCGCTAGAAGGAGCTGTCTACACTGCCCCTTGCGCAAGAAAACCCCTCTTGCATAATGCCGTTATTCCTGAAAATAATCAGCGTAGCGGCATTGCACAAGAGGGTTTTCTTGTACAAGAAAGGGCAGTGTAGACAGCTCCTTCTGGCGCAAGAGCCTCTTCTGCAAAATGGCGGCTCATTAGGTATGCAAATGAGGCTGGGCAATATTCCACGCTTAGCCTGATTTGCATATCTTTGGCGCAAGATCGCGCCAGTAAAGACATAGCCTAGCTGCTTAACCGGCCGGCCGTATTACAAACCACACATGACAGTGCATTATCACTTTTACACGACAGTCACGAGAAGAGCCTTACCTTCTGTTTAATGGTCATTCTTCCCAGCAAAACAATGACTGAGGTTAGCATGGTGCACATGTTACACTTTTCCTTTGTTGATTAACATAATAAATTAGGGGAAAGAAAAGTCTGCAGATCCCAGAGTCCAGGCAACTTACTGTCCAACCTACAGCTGTTAGCCACGCTGAATGGATTATATAAAATATTCGGCCTTTTCTCCTTTAGAAGGGAGGTCTTCCAGCTGTATTGACACTTCTGCCTCTGCTTGCTCATAGGTGCGGTAGCTCCCTTTGTTCTTGTACAGGTAGATGATGATCACTACCAGGACGGCCAGGAGGGTCATGAAAACTACGGTGAGGACACCTTCCAAAGAAGCAACAGAAGCCAGATTAGGAGATAGGTCAGCATTTAACTGCTCCCGGGTTGTCCTCCCTGATGTACACTCATAGCAACATACCTGCGATGACGCCCACGCTGGCTTCTTCATGCAGAGACGGCGTATTCATCTTAGTCTGAAATAGGGTGGCCAGCTCTTTTTTACGAGGCCAGAGTCAAATTGACAAGGAGAGGAGAAGAAAGTGACAGTTATTGAAATATCTTCAAGGCACTTATAAGTGAAGCCTCTTTGGAGGCAGCTAGTGACACACGAATAGGTCTTATGTTTAAAACGGTTTAGTAGCCCTGGAGGAAAATTTTTCACTGAAAATTTTTGGACTGAAAATGCCCTTTTTGCAAAGTCTGTTTTTTGTGTGTGAAACCATATGGACACCATTTTTTTTTGAACAAAATGGGAACCCTTTAAAAAATGTGAAAACAGCCCCCGTTTTAAGACTTTTAGAACAAAAGGTTTTGATTTTTTTTGTATTAAAAAGATCGGTTTGAAACAGACTTCACGGTATGCCTTTCAAAATGGTTGCAAGCCAAACAAAATGTGGTGATGGACCCCAAATGATTATTTACATTTTGGGAAGAAAAAAATGGCCATTTTGTGCTTATCTCAATTTGAGTCACGTTTTTTTTGTTCTGAAATGTCTGTTTCCCACAACATGGGGAAAAAAACAAAACAGTGTTCTGACCAGTTCTGTAGTTTACCACAAATACATCCTTGAATGAGAATGAAGCCTGGAAACTTTTAAACCACATGTTAGTTTCAATAAATAGCAGCTACTACACTAATGAAGTATCAGAGGGGTAGCCGTGGAAATAGCAGCTACTACACTAATGAAGCGGTTCAACTATTCCTTTAATTAAATGATTAGAGCAGTGGTCTCGATTAGCTGCCTGAAGATAACAGACACTTTTGGGACTTTAAGGATGCAACCTGCTTATTGGGATCCGAGAGTTTTGCTCAATTTAAGATTCCAAGACGTGATTTAAAAGCCAGACATTTTTAACAGCATCTTTCCCGTCATTCTAGTGCATTATGTAATTAGGCTGATAAAT